TTAGAATAGACATACAACCCACTTCCATTCTGATCCTAACTTCCTAGGCTTGCCAAGCTGGTGAAGAGGCTTTTAAACTAAAGTTGCTGGCAGAGGGGAACCTCAATCCATCTCACTCCTACCAGTTTGATGCCAGTGCCAGCAACAGATGCCCATAGCCTGGAGAGGGATCACAGGTCAGCAGGAGAGCACCTGAAAAGCAGCACAAAGGAATTCCAGCCACTCCAGCCAGTAAGTCAGCTTCATCGGGGGCCCAACTTAAATGCCTCTATGCAAATGCACGTAGCATGGGGAATAAACAAGAGGAGTGAGAGACGTGTGCACGCCTTCAGGGGTATGGTCTTACTGGCATCACGAAGACGCGGTGGGATGGCTCCTGACTGGAGTACTGGAATGGAAGGATACAGGCTCTTTAGGAAGAACAGGCAGGGGAGACGAGGAGGGGGTGTCACCCTCTATGTCAATGACTAGCTGGAGTGGCTGGAGCTCCCCCTGGGGATGGATGAGGAGCCGACCAAGAGCTTATGAGTCAGGATGAAAGAGAAGGCAGGGACAGGTGACATTATAGTGGGGGTCTGCTACAGGCCACCCCACAAGGAACACTGTGCAGATAAGGCCCTCCATAGAAAGACAGGAGCAGCCTCACATTCACAAGCCCTGGTCCTCATGGGGGACTTCAACCGCCTTCTAGTACCTGAAGGGGGCCTACAGGAAAGCTGGAGAGGGACTTTTCACAAGGGCACATAGTGATAGGACAAGGGGTAATGGCTTTAAACTGAAAGAGGGTAGCTTTAGATTAGATACAAGGAAGAAATTCTTCACTCTGAGGGTGGTGAGGCACTGGAACAGGTTGCCCAGAGAAGCTGTGGATGCCCCATCCCTGGAAGTGTTCCAAGGCCAGGGTGGACGAGGCTTTGAGCAACCTGGTCTGGTGAAAGGTGCCCCTGCCCATGGCAGGGGGGTTGGAACCAGATGATCTTTAAGGTCCCTTCCAACCCAAACCATTCCATGATTCTAACAGAGGGAGAGGTAGAATTGCTTGATGTGATACAAAGGGAGGTCTCATCTGACCTCCCTCTGCTTGCCCATACCAATCTCCTGTGGTTTAGCCCCCAAACAACTTTTAATCACTTTTTCTCTGCAAACATTGCCCTCTACTCCTTTATGATACATATAAATTCATTTAGGAAAGGGTTAACTTTTTATCTTTCCTCTTGAACATGAAATGAAAGGACACTTAGTAACCTCCTGAACTCCCTCCTTCTGGAAGGAGGACAAATATTTCCCACAAAGGCTTGAGTAAGTCCATGAGTTGCAACATTATCGATTCAATCATTTTTACCTGCTCTACATTCAGTTTAGCATAGTACTCACTTCTAAAAACAAAATTCAGAAACTTACTGACCTATGTCTTCCATTCATTTCCAGTCCCACCACAGGGCATATAAAGCGTGCAGACTGGATGTCATCGTATTTGTCACCTTTTATACTCTCTTTGTCACCACTCCAAGCTGGATTATCTGCAAGGTTTAGTTCTGTTACATTCTGAAAAATAAAAATGCAAGCCTTAAGTTGCTAACGAATGATTTTTGAGCCGTGATAACATTCCCTAAGATTTTTTTTCATTGTGGTTTGTTATTTTTAACACTTGTAGTATATAGTGAGAACGCAAGCAAATTGAGGCTTTGTAGCATGTTTTAACTTTCATGGCACTCTCTAACATTAGACACAACCTGTTTACCTTAATGCTCTTGATATGTGATGCAGCTTCCACAGGAGTTTTATCAGCTGACTTGTCCAACAAAAATTCAATGATGGCATCTTTATTGTACAACCTATAACATAAAATTTTTTGTAGTCATATTTGATTCTCATAACATTCTTTTATTTATCAGTCAGTACCTTTCAATATAGTGGTCTTTATGGAAACATTCATACCTGCCTAGCTCACAGGCTACAATTGGCCGACATAACTTCTCTTGACTCAGAGCACAGTAGTACCATCTTGCCACCAATTCAGCATTTTTGTCAACCTGAAGAAAAAAAATACGATTTTAAAGTAGTTTTTATGTTTGCAAATTATTTAAACATAAAATTGAGTAATATTTGAAGCATTAATCAAATCCCCAGGTCTTACCAAACCCACTTTCTGCATTCAAAGCTACTCCGTAAAACAACTTTAGCAAAACCTTTTAGCAAAATTCATGACCAGTTTCGAGGGTCTGCCTCTATCTGTTGAACATGTTTCTGCATGTTGTGACTTGGGACCTATCTTCCTAACTCTAACTTGTTTGTCTTTTATCTTTTTCCACTTGTCCCCTTCCTTCTTTATTCTTTTTTGCTCTTCACACGTTCTCCACTGCCCTCTTCTCTCTAGTTCTACATCTCATCCCTGCTTGCGTTAACTACCAGTTCCACTCCCTGTAAGGAACAAGATAACAAGAAAAGCAAATCTGGGGATGTCAGGATGCTACCTGGAGCACCAGTCTAAAACCATGAATTTTATGACACGTGAGGCCATGAAGGAAAGGCTGAGGTTCACAGCTACTCTGATAGTCAGGTTTAGGGAGGAAATGGATTTTATTTACTTATTTTACACCACCAAGTGTGATTTGCCTAAGTTGTCTGCCACTTGCGGTGAGATTTTTCCCAATCTTCATCCACCTATCCACACGTGTGATGGCACTGTATATCCATTACCCTCAAACACCCTACAAAGAGAGCCCAAGCAATATTCAGAATGCAAGCTGATGGAATCCAGAAATGGCCACGTTCAACACCACCAATGGTCTGGTCACACCATCAAACAATCCACCGTAAGTGTTACCAGCAGACACCCCCAGATGAAGGAGGCCCCTAAACCCCACGCGTTCAGCAGAAAGCCCCCTAGAAGACAAAGGGATCTCCGCTATCTCCACCGCCACCAGCGCCACAGGTACAGTCACGCTGCGGCGGTACCCGCAGAGCGGCCCAGCGCCGCGCAGAAGGCCGCTCTCCCCCAGGCTGCCAGCACCAGGAGCGCCCTGCCCGGCTCACCGCCGGACGGGCAGGACTAACCAGGCCTCCCCGGGGCCTCTCTCCCCCGGGCCGCGGGCCCACGGTCAAGGCCCAGGCTCACGCAGCCGGTCCGGCAGCCCCCAGCCGCGCCCCCCGCCG